TGATCAACAGAGGGACAAAAAAGACTGACGGATATGTCCGTTCTTTGCTGTCTGAACCAAGCTTTCCAATTATCCTCTCAGCAGACCAGCTAGCAGTATAAGCTGGTGGCCCAAGCCTTGCTGAGATTTCGCCAATATGTTCTGCAAAATGCAAGTTAGGTTTTTTCTTGATATGTGGCCAGCCATCGCCAAGGGCGGTTTGATAGCCATGAACCAAATTACCAATCTTTTCACCATCGCCTTGGTGAAAACTGCGCAAAGTACATATGTTGCCAATTTGAATGAGTTGCAGCAGGATGGCAAGGATCTTGGCTGAAGTGGTGCCAGCTTCGCCATTAAGAAAGTGAGGGACCCAAGCAAGTACAATGTAGACTTTGTATAAAGAATGCCACTCTGCTGCTTTGGGAGTCCCAGCACTTGCCATACCAAAGGTACCCTGGGGTTTGGTAAGCCAAGAGGGGGCTTGGGCGTTTTTGATGCATCGCTGGAGCAGATCGAGCTCATAAGATGTGATTTCTGGAACAATCACAGGTATTGGTAGGGGTGGAGGTGGTGATGGTGATGGGGTCCGGCTTGCTTTCTTTTTACCCTTGATTGTACCATCTGATCCAGGAGAAGAAGACCCTTGGTCGTGGAGATTGGATGCTGCTGATCGTGTTCCGTAGGAATGTTGTGATGCTGGTTTGAGCGGAGGAGCTGAAGCTGAAGGGCCTGGTGGATCAGGAGTTGCAGTACTGGCTGTTGGTGGCTTAGGTAGCTGAACATTGTACATTCTTTTACTGAATTCCATTTTGTCCTTTTCAGCTTCCAGAGCCTTGCCTGCCACTGGCACTTTTAAATAATTTGTGGAAAAGTCTTTGAAGAGGCCAAGGAAGATGTTGTGCACAATATCAACAGTGTAGAATTCAACAGACTTCCAATAAGGCAGCTCATGAAGGACAGTATATCTTACTCCATTGCTGCCGGTAAGTTCATTTTGATCATAGGCAGTGGTGGCCTGTTCCCATGCTTGTGCTTGAAGTTTTACCTCTGTTGAGGTTCGATGAGGACATTTAGGTGCTGGAAATTGGGAGTGATATATTCTGTCCGTAATTTGACAGAGTGAACAAAAGTGTCTGGAAGAGTGTGCGGTGGAGGCGGTGACCTTTTTCATGGCTGGGACGTCCCCGTGGATGGGCCAGATGGCTGCATGAATGGTTCGGCCGACTACAGGATGTTTTGAGGTGGAACTCACAGGAAACAAGAGACAATTTTCCCGCGGGAAGACCGATTACACATAATGTAGTTTCTGAGCCATAATGTACAAATAACACAGATATAACACCAAAATAATACATTTTGGCTCGTTAACTGAGTCAGATACAATTGGTTTTCCCACGGGAAAATTGTCTTTTGTTTCCTGTGACTAAAGCTGATGCCTTGCCAAAACTCTTTCATCTCTTCAACCAGAGGCTTGAGGAAGTGATTCATTTCTGTTGTGGAAGGTTCTGAGGGACCTGGCATCATCCCGTAAAGGCAGATATTCTCTCTTTTGTAACGTAAGGAAGGAGGCAAGTTGAAACAAGTGAGAAGCATGACACCAACAGAGGTCTTGACTCTAGCTTCTTTGCCGTTTGGATTGAACCAGTCACACCACAGTCCAAAAACAAGGTTCCCCGATTTTGCAGTGAAGACTGAGCCTGACTTTCGGAAGGTTTTCCATAGGCTGCCATCCCATATATCATCCATTTGGTGATTGGATGGTGGGGTGCGGTTGAGAGAGGCATCCAAGGCCGTTTCGAAAGCGGAAAACTTGAGCATCTTGCCAAGCCATTACTGGACAGACTGATAAAAAAACAGTCTAGATGGTTTTTGAATTTGTTTACCAGAGGGTGTCTCATAAAGTGGTTGATCACAAGATTTTCGTTTTTCTTTAGATGTCTTTGAGGTGAATCGAGGATGATTGCACAGTTGATTCATGTTGATTTGGTCTATTGGTAGTACAGGATGCAGAGCACAGCAGAATGGACAACAGATTTTGCTCTGTATGGTGGTATTGAGGTCGAATGTCTTTAAAAGTGTTGGGATCGTGCGAGGGATTTGGGTCCAAGGTGTTGTCTTGATGTTGGGATCAACTGTTTGAGGTGCTCTTCTACACTTTCCCG